TTACTGCATCATATTGATAGGTTCATACTCATCAATGGGAACTTTGTCATGTCCATGAAACAGTTACTTTGTAAAAACCAAGATGCAATTGTTCAGCATGAATGCAATCATATGTGCTTCTGCTCATACTGTTGATATTAAGGGGGTTGTGGCTTTGTGAGATGACTAATGGAGATTTTTGAGGCCTTGAAGCTGGTGGTTCCCTTGCCAGGTTTCCAGTGGGTTCCCTTTTTATGAGGTCTGCTCTGAATACACTTGCCATTCAGGTTAATGTCGCCGCAAATGCTAAACCACCACCCACCTAAAGGAAACAGAGAGAGAAAAATAATTTTGTTTGCAATTTCCAAGCACACTATTATTCAAAAGCACTGGGATTACCTCAAAAATAGGTATTTACAACAAAGTCGCTACTTGATGTATTAGTTTTGCACAGAAACACTCAATGAAAAGGTCTGCTTATGATCGCATGTACCTGTGTAGTCTTGAGCACAGTTTGGATCACGGTTTCCATCGTTGTGGTCTTTAGTGGAGAACCTGAAGCCACTGTGTTCATCCAGAGCAGAGCTGGATTCACCGGTCTGCAGCTTCAGATGGATGGTGTAGTTGAAGGCGGCGTCCTCCAGGATATACTGATAAAGCATGAAATGCTTCTCCTTCCTCCAGTCCTCAATCTGGACATGCAGGAGCGAGTGTCCCTGATGGGCAACAGCATAGATCTTCTTTAGCCCCAGCCAGAACTCACCTACAAAACACAGACATCTGAGACATCCAGCTCTCTGTATAATAGTATTATAAATCACTTAATATTACATTGGCGTACTATGGCAGTCCAATATCATAATATTCAGGTGTATGGTATAATATAATTAACAGTAGTTCAGATTATTTGATAAACATCACTCTTTTTAGTAGACTGTAAAAATGTTTTGTTAAAAAAAAATTAAAAAAAAGACTATTGGAGAACCTTAGATTTTTTTATTTTTAAAAAAAAATCTTTTTTATATATATATAAAAAAAATTTTACCATT